CCTGTCCACTCGATTTGAGCCATCCATCCACCTCGTTGCCCGCCCAACCATTCCATGCCAAACCTCGTGATCACCCTCTTTATATCCTGGTCAGTCTGAAAGATATCTAACTGTGGTTTGAGGTCACCCCATCTTCGTGACAGTTCCAACTGCACTAGTTCCTTTATCTGCCCGATCAGTTCAGGGCCCTCAATCTTAACCCCCTCCAACACTAAAAGGCAGCGCTGCCACCAAAGCGCCCAAAGGACAGATCGTCTACCCAAACTATATAAGTTACTCACATAGGAGGGGGCACTTTCCATTGTCGGACAGTGTCCAGCCAATATGGCTTGCCAGTAACAAGATCATAGAAACTATTGAGCATGTGTTTCTACAATGCCCGAGCACAGTTCTGTTGTGGAGAAGATGGGACTGTGTGTGGAGAAGATTAGCAGATATTGACTGGCCATGGGACTGGAGAGTCATCCTTATGGGACACTGGGAGCCAAATGACATACAACTTTCAGAATTTCAGACGATTTTTTTCAAAATTGGTCGGAAAGCCATCCTATGGGTACTTTGGTACAAAAGATGTGTCCTTCAGAGGGAAGAGGTGAAAGTAGAAGGAACAAAAATTTCAGAACTGATAGTCCAATATGTGCATACAAAAATTCGGGCACGATGGTTATCTGTTCACACTAAGTTACAACATTTTCAACAAAAAAAGGATATCCTGAGTTGTATTCAAAAATTCAACCAAGACTGGCTGGGGGGAGCAGAAGAAGAAAGCTTGGGTGAGGTGAGATGGCCAGGAGATAAAGAGCAAGGGGTACCTCTAAAGAAGGATTTTCATCTCATCTTCAGGGACTGGTTCTCACTTTAGCCAGGAGTTACTCTTAGATCCCCAGAATGTTTCCCTGATCCCTTCCCACCCTCGGAATTGGCAATGGTTGATCTTCAATGGTATGCCTTGACTGAGTGAACCAAAAAACTAGTCAGCTGTGGTATAAGGATTAGTGCTGCTAGCATTAGTATGATTACTTGGCGGCCTCGATTGGGCTGAAGAGGCAGTGCTTCCTTTTCACTCAGTTTTATTTCTCAATCTATTTTTTGTATAAGGGACGCTGGACCCGTTTTCCAGCAGGTGCAGCTTCCCACCAATAGAATGGAGCTTGTTTTATCAAAAAAAAAAAAAAAAAGGACGAGTATCCCTTCGGTGGTGCGCAGGCAGTGTCTGTAATAGCTTACCTGCATCAGCCCAAGGGGGCCTGTGTCCAGCCGTGCGTCATTCTAACGCCCTGCCGGTGTCCATGCGTGAGGCTGCAATTGAGTTTTGAAGCCGCAACCTCATGCCACAATGCGCATTTTGATGTAGCTCAGTGGTTAGAGCACCGGTTGGAAATGCGCATTGTGGTATATGAGGTTGCGGGTTCAAAACTCAATAGCAGCCTCGCGCATGGACACCGGCAGGGCGTTAGAATGACGCACGGCTGGACACACACCCCCTTGGGCTGACGCAGGTAAGCTATTACAGACACTGCCTACGCACCACCCAAGGGCTAGCCCGGTTTGCTATATGTCAGCTTCTACCTACGCGGGCTACTGGAGGACATTGGCTACTGGTTGCTCTGTTGATCTCCCCTATCATGTGTCATACATGGTAGGCTATCCTAGTTACATATAACAGATCCTAGGTTCGAGTCTGGCATAGCTGTCATACACATATACTCACCGTGTCACACGGTTCTTGGTACTTATACTGCCTATGCGCACACCCATATCTCGGGGTCCACTTGTACCATTAAAAAAAAAAACTGCACAGTATATGGCCACTGATATACATACTGCTTACACATACAGACATATGGTACGACATAGATAGACACACCTCCATACTAGTAGAGTAGGGTGGAGGAGACCGATCTCTGTCATGGGTTCAGGCCATGCTACGAGGAGTCTACTCTGGTCCGTGCAAACACTTGGCTGTGATTCGGTTCGTCGGTATGGACTGATAGTGATACTGATTGTGCCTGACATCCGAAGTCCTCGAGTAACAAGGCTTGCGCGATTAGGCTTCCACTGGGACTGGGTAGGGGTAGGCTGTCCAGTCCTGGTGCCTATAGCTACTGTTTGGTCTACGTCACCCTCTGAGGAGTAGGGTGATTGTCCTGAGTGCTTGTATCACTGAGGTAGGATAGTAGGTATAGGGGGTGTGTTAGGAGAATTGAAGTGAGGTAGGGTAGGGAGGTAGTCCTGCCGTCACGCATCAGGGTACCCACTAGCTGGTTGAGCTGGAATAGTACCAGGAAGGTGTCCCCTCCGATATCAGAATAGGTGGGAGTCATGAGGCCACACCTGGCGGGGGCATGCAGTCCGTGATTGGCGCCAGTGGAATACCACCAACTCGGGACAAACCTCCCCACGAGAACTTCTGATTCGGTTGCCAGGAATAATACTGGGTAGGTTGCCACCGGCACTCCAATGACAGTACCCACCTGGGTTGATACCCGACCTCTATAACAACCTGGGCTTTTAAATTTGAAAAAAGAAAAAAGAAAAAAAGGACAAGTATGATGATTCCTTGCCACCCCCTGGGAACAGGGCCCCAAGTTGGAAAAGAGGCTGTGAAGTTGTGTGAACCTCCCCAAGACCAGAGGGCAATCATGCCGTCCTCTTTCTCCACCGCTGTCTTGTAAATCTTGTCAGAATGCGATGCTGGCCCCGCTTCCCAGCCCATGGCGCTCCCCACTAAGGGCATACTCACACCAGGGCTTTCCTGGATGTGATTGATTGCCTTTCAGATGCACCCCGGATGCACCAGACCACAACTCTGTCCTCAGAGGAGTGGGAAAAGCCCTAGTGTGAGTATGCCCTAATAAGACCCGAGCCCACTAAAGAGTGGTTTCGCCATCACATATGCACTCTCCGCATGATGGAGACTGCCTGCTGTTCAAAAAAAAAACAAAAAAAACAAGCTTTTCTACATGAAGTGTGCTTTCTCTGTGGTTCTTTCCCTTTCTGCTCCTTCTCCCTGCCAATCTTTTTTTTTTTTTTGGGGGGGGGGACAAAATGCTCCGATCTATTCGTGGAGCAGCACGTCTGGGAACCGGGCCCAGCGTCCCATATAAAAGTACACAAGTATTAAAGCACCGGGGCCATTACCCGGCTTCAGCTGAGAAAACTCTGAGAACAACTTGCACCAAGTACTATTGAAACAGCCTCGAAGGGACTTATGGAAAAAAAATAGACATCTATGCAGTACTAAATTTGAAGGGCCCTTTTGTTTTTCGAGCCTTGGCTCACAGGAGAATTCAGACCAAATAACCCACCTGCCTTGGTGCCTTCCAGCGGCCCTAACCCTACCTGCCTCACCCCTATACCCCGATCCCCAATCTCTACCAAGCCTCACGCCCCCAGCTGCTAGGTTACAGAGTGGCACGACCCACCCCAGAAACCCCCCACCTGCTAGGCCACAGGGCAATGCGACCCGCCCCGGCTCCGGCCTGCGCCGACTAGGCACCAGCTCACCAAAAGACACTAGAGTGCATTCCACCCTCGACAACTTCCCAGATCTCTCTACCAGGTCTCATGCCCTCTTACAGCTCGAGTTACAGGGCAGCGCGACCAAGCCCCAGCACCGACCAGCGTTGTTCCGGCCTCGCCTATTCACAAACCCCGGGGACTCAGAGAGTGTTGTGTAGTGGACCATAGGCCCCAATTTCCTTATTTTGTTTTCACCGACTTATGGGCCTTGCTGCACCGTTCACCAAATGTGAAAACAGCAAAGGATATGGATGGTATACCTTTCATTGTTCTAGCAGTCTATCCATTTTCTAGTGACTTAAAATCTAGGCTACCAGAGTGGCCCCGGACCACTTGCCCGGCCAGGCCCCCCCTAGCCTCCTGATGAGTCGGTGAAACTCCGACGAAACAGTTTGTCATAGCCCCTCGTTTGTTGTCCTCTTCTCCCTCTCTGCCTACGGTTTACCGGGCAGTTCTATTTGACGATATATATATATTTTTATACTATTTTTAATTTTTAATTTGGTAAAGAATTTCGATGTGACCCTGAGGCAAAAGTTGTTCAGTTTATTTTTCTGCATGACATAGGTTTTCTTTTCGGATTTTTTTTTTTTTTTTTTGCTAGGACCTTTCCTGGTCCCTGCACGGCCGGGCCGCCAGGGAAAACAGGGTGACCCAGGCGGCCCGGCTGGTAGCCTAGCTTAAAATCAATATCCGATTATGTGATCAATTTCCTTATTTTCTTTTCAACTGCTTATGGGCCTTGCCGCACAGCTCACCAAATGTGAAAAAGACTAAGGATACAATGATCCATATTTTTTAGGTGAATAGTTCGGCGGGGCCCTATATCTGAAGAATATATAAAATTATCCAACCTGACATAAAAAGACACAAACCAATGAACCTAGATCGGTTGGTGAGCCCACAAACTGTTGAAATGCAGACCCAAGTTCAAACCCAGATGTAATCAGCTGAAGAGAACAAAATAATTCTGAATTACCTGGGGCCAGTTAGTGCAATGACGATATCCCAAGGTCGTTGCCCTTTTTCTGGGGGGAAAAAAAAAACAAAAACACCCCAGATTAAGCTCAGCTGGATGATGCTTCCAGTATTTGTGTTTTTTTTTTTTTAAGGGTGATGGGCTTAGGGTATTATCTTCGGACTAACAAGCCCAGGTGAATTCAATCATGTGTCTAATCTGACACCGGGGGCCATGTCCCACTTGCAGCGTTGAGTAAGTTCGATGCCCAGTTTTCTATCACGTGTGACCAGGGGCGACCCAGGAGATGAGATATGAGTTTTCTCACCATACATCGGGCTGTCGGATTTTGATTTTCCCGCTTGCTCCCGAATATACCGGTGCGTATTTGATTGTCAAGCGGGTACATGTACTGGTGGTTTAATTCCCTTCTGTCCTTATGACATCCTAAATGTGGAGCCGAGCACAGTCGATTATGATTTGAAAGCTCAAGCGCTGACATACGCTCGTGAATATCCAGGCTCCAGTTCACGGGTACGAAGTGCACGTTGGTGCCAGAACCTCCTACGAGTCTTTGAATGGCTTTTGGGTGAAGCAACTCCTTGACGAGAAAAGAGGGTAAGCTCCTCTCTCTCTCTCTCTCTCTCTCTCTCTCTCTCTCTCTCTCTCTCTCTCTCTCTCCTGTCTCTTATACACATCTAACAGACAATATAGAATGTGTTTACATTAGTTCACTATCTCCCTGGTCTCAATGGGTGAAAAAGAGAGTAGTCCGGGTCAAGGACATCTGGGACAAAAAAAAAAGGTTGGATGACAACTGCACAGCTCAGGAGGACAATTTCATATGCCCACAGACTTAACCAAACTTTGGATCAGATCATCTGCTCCATTCCACTTGGATGGGTTAGAGAATTGAAAAAAAGGGTAATATTTCAGACAAAGACTGGGTAATGATCACACATGATCCAGAATGGTGGCAGGTGGGGCAGATAATGCAGTTGATAGGAGAAGGAGCTTTGGTTGCTATCTTCAAAATAAAGGATAATCACTTCCTCCTTCTTTCACCTGACAACCGAGTCAAATTTATCCCCTTCAGATCAATGTTCAGGATTAGAGTATTTTTTTACTCTACAATTAAAGGATGAAGGGTTTTTCAATCTCAATGTCCAAGTCCAGACCTACCCTTGGATCCAACCGAATGGGTATGGCAATCTGGTAAAAAGGATAAGCTATGCACTTTACAATCTCTCTCAGTCAAAGCAACGTATTCTCTGCTGAGACCAAGAGTGGATGTGTTGTCCATAATAAGAGATAGGTGGGTGAGACATTTGAATATTAATGTGCAAAGAATCCAAAATATAAAAGTCTTTAAACCACCAGTACTTGGCCCATACATCGGCCGCGGGCCCTTAGCGTTAACGCTACGCGTTTCCCGCGCCTCGGCAAAGGCTTGGCACGACAATGGGGGAGGGAGCTGGTGGCCCCATGGAAACGGGGCAAAAGGACTGCACGATGTCCTCGTGGTGTGCTATGTGGAAACGCACGGATAGTGGTAGCAAGGAGGCAAAAAAGCAAAAAAGAAAACGGACGAGGAAAAAATAAAGATAGATGGTTGCTTTCCTTTCTTTTCAATTTTTTTTTTTGTGGGGGGGGGGAAGAATGTATCTGGCTTCACTTCTGCACGGCGTTATATGAATCTTAGGGCAATCACGTTCAGATGCTGGTTTCCCATTTCCCCCTTCTGTTTTTTTTTTTTTTTTTTTGGTAATCAGATCGTCGGCTGTTTCTGCACTTGCTCCCCGTGAGAGACAGGGAGCATTCAATGCCTCAGGTCCCAGAGGCAGTGTGACGTTGCAACTTCGACGCATGTATCTGGCTTCACTGCTGCACGGCGTTGTATGAATCTCAGGCCAATCACGTTCAGATGCCTGTTTCCGGTTTCCCCCTTTTTGTTTTTTTTTTCTTTTTCTTTTGATAATAAGATCCCAAGGCTGTTTCTGCACTTGCTCCCCGCGAGAGACGGGGAGCATTCATTGCCTCAGGTCCCAGAGACAGTGTAACGTTGCAACTTTGACGCATGTATCTGGCTTCACTGCTGCACGGCGTTCACGTTTCTCTCTTTTTTTTTTTTTTGGCTTTTTTTTTTTTGGAAGAAGATCCTTCACGGGAGCATTGAATGCGTGAGTGGAAACAAGAAAACAACGGCCTGTTTACGTTCTATCTGCTGGCAGCAGGTCTAAAGGAAGGGGCGGTACCTGCTTGCAGCAGCAGATGTCCCGTATTTTTTCCCACTCCCCGCAGGCTCGGCAAAAATTGGCGCGCAGGGCATATTCAGGCTCGACTTCAATAGCTGGGCCAAGTACTGGTGGTTTAATAAGCTAAAACAGAGACCTGCCAATTTTTCCTCTCTACAATGACAAATAATCCATAGATGCTTGCCCACTAATGATTGGTTGGTTGACCACACCACTTTAGAACAACGGGGCTTGGCAGTTCCATTGTGCAAATCATGTTGATTTGT